GGCTACAACTTTCCATCCCGGGCGGCAGCCGGCGGCGGCAGCGAGCCCCTCCGCCGCTGGAAGTGGGCGGGGGAGGAAATACGAGGAGGAGGCGCGTCGTGCTCTCCGCCGCGGCGCCCCTTTTTTGGCCCGGGATGCGGGTTTTGCCGGGGGGGGCTGTGCCGCCGCGGTTGGTTTCCTGCATCAGCTGCGGAGGTGTGTGTGCACAGCCCACACGTGTCTCTGTGTATGTGTGTGTGTGTGTGTGTGTGTGCGCGCCGGGTCACCCTGCCCGGCCAAGGGCTGCCCTCACTTCTCCCCCGCCGCGGGCAAGGCAGCGCTGCGCCGCCCTCCAGAAGGCGAGGGGACCCGGGCTGGGCTTTGGGCACTGAGGAGGGGGATTTGGCGTTTCTTTTTTTTTTTTTCTTTCCCTTTTTCTTTTTTTTTTTCTTTCTGCACCCAAATTCCCCGACAAAGCAGCATTGGCAGCTTTTCATTGCCACTCGGGTTTTCCATCGGGTTTTCTTTTGAAGCCAGCACGTGATGTCTTTAGCAAATAAACCAAATTAAATATTTCTTGCATCACCCTCGTGTTCTCCCTCCTCCCGTGCCTGCACTCCCCTGGCAGCCTGTGTGCTCAGCTGTGAGAACCTTGGCCCTGCTACATCCTTCCCTTTGGAGTTCAGTGTCCAGACCAGATCCTGCCTTAAGCGAACAGGACCGCCATTCTCAGAGTTTTCAAGGTTTTTACAGGTCCTTCTTTCAACCTACGTTTAATCATTCGTGTAAGACAGATGAGTATTTTAATCCCCATTTCACAGGGGACAAACCAAGGCAGGAAGATGCAGAGTAGCTCACTGCATAGCTGTGGACTGACATGACACCACTTCTGCCTGAGTTTTTGGCCACAGGCGCTGTCTCTGGGCTATTTCTCGTCTTAAGTTCACTTAAATTGTATTCTGAGAACACTTACAGCTTACAATGGTGGCAGGTTCTCTGCTGTGGGTAACCTGTCCTACGTCCTGCCCAGAGGCAACACGGGAGGCAAAAATAAGTGAAATCCCTGGCTAGTCTGCAACTGGTGGTTAGGGCAAAAGACAGAATTCATAGCTGAACTGGAGATTCATGGAAAAATCAGACCCTCAGGAGAAATACGTTCTGCTACTTCTATTGGACAAGAAAACAATGATTCTTTATTGTTAAAAGGCAATGCTTGTCTTCCCCCTTGTCTGCCCCCCTACCCCCTTGTTCTTCCTTTGTCTGGCTTTTAGACTTGGGGCTCTGACTTGCTAATGAACAAAATTGCTGTTACCCTAAACACATCAGCATGAATATGATCCTGGTGCCATAAACTTAAATTAGTGTACCGAGTCTGACCAGTCACAAAACCAAGACCAAGCGACCTCAGAAACTAGGTCTGAACCTCTACTTGCTCTACTTGTTCTGCTCAGCTGTCCCTTAAACTCTGTCCTGCAGGCCTCTGGGACACATAGCATCTCGCTCCTTCTTTGCTACTCATTGTCTGAAAGCCTCAGATTGTGATCACCAGAGTCATCAGGGACAAAGCGTCAGATACTGACTCTTCCTCATAAGATGCCTTAGGAAAAAGGAGCCATCCCAGCTGCTGCTGGCTCCAAAGGGAGTTCTAGGTCACTCATCTCTTCACAAGGACCTGAATAAGTTCGAAATAGATGCTCCAGCTTGCAAGCTGAAATAAGACCATAGAAAACCCCCTCCAGCCAGCGGGAAAGTTACTGCTACCAGAAGTAGTCAAACTGCCTCCCACCCATGAGTTTGAAAATCCAGCCCTCTCATCACACCGATGTGCACAGGAATATAATAGGTGCCCTTCCTCTGCAAACAAGCACAACTGTCTTAACAAGACTCAATGAAGCGTCAAAGAGGAGTCAGGTCCCCAGGGATGCGTATCAGATGGTGGCAGCTGATCCACCCTCGAACATAAAACCAGTCATCTCAAAGTCAGGTTGGGTCAGAGGGCAAAACGAAGAACTGAAAGTCTGGCCCCTTGGGGTTATTTCCACGGCCATCTGAAAAAGCAGCCGAAGAGGCAGCTGTGAGCTGGGGACTCTCCTCAGCCTGCTCCCTTCGAGCAAGCAGAACTAAGGACTGAAGAGCTGCCTTGAGCCCAGTTTAGTGTCGTTCCAGCAGGCTGCCCCTGGCCAGGTAAAAAATGCAATCCTAAAGGCTTTGAAAAGGCAGCATACCAAGCTGTTTATCCCGGGCAGATCATTTCATCTTTTTCTTTCTGTTTTTCCATCAGTAAAAAGGAAGTGCATACCCACTCAGTAAAGTACTTAGGGAAAAGTACTGTGGATGATTGCTAGTAGGAGGCACAGAGTAATCTTCTCAAACCTGCAAATGAGGGAAATTCTTTAAAACTTTTCAGTGAGATCTGAAATGCCACATCAATATGCACATAGGAAAAAAAGCACAACAACACCTTCACTGCAGAATTTAGATACTTTTAAAATTTCACCTAAAAGGAGTCCTACAGGATATAGATCGTCTTTAAATGACTGTGTGTATAGCTGAACAGGGAAGATTACTGAGGTTTTCTTCTCTGTAAAATTTCATTGTATTTTCAGGAGGATACCTATTTTTAAACATCCTCTAGTTTTACTTTTGAAACCTCGCTCAGAAACTGGTTTTCTGTAATGGCTCACAGGTATTTTATGTATAAATATATACACATACACACATTAAGCTCTCAAGAAGCCACGATACATTAGGTAGTCTTGAATAATTCATTGTTAAGCACCCCATGATAAATCTCTGGTTGAACAGTGTGTGATTTTGCTAGAATTCTTGGAATAAATTGAATGTGAAGCACTGTGGTAAATTTAACTATGCTGAGCATCAAATGTGAAAACTTTACATTGTACATTACATCCTGACATGCAACTGAAAATCATTATTATTAAGGCTTCGGGGAATTTTTGAGGGAACTTCTGAAGTTCTGAAAAGAAAAAGAACAAGCCTGAGTGCTGTTCTCTATAGAAGTTGAGATTTTCTCAGAGAAGGGAAATTCCATAAGTAGTCTGTATTTTATTAACATAAAGGTTTCACTAAAAGAACTGCTGCCTATTAGCTTATGCTCTGAGGCTTCTCTTTGAGCACTACTCACATAAAAGTCAGAGGATCTTGGCTTACCTGGTACCAGTGGGTGCTTAGAACTTTCCTAGGGCTTGCCACTCCTGCAGCAGGGCTGGAGAGATAGGGCAGCAACGACTGATGTGAGGGGAGGTCATTTACCCCTTTTCTGTAGCAGTAGCTGTCATCCCAGATACTCACAACTCTTCCTTGTCAGCAGCAGCCACACACTTTCCTGCAGGCAGGCAAGGGCAACAGCAGGGACCTGGCCATGCACTGCTCCTCCCAGCCTGCAGCTCCAAACAAGAAGCTGGTCTTTGTTGGGACATTTTGCATGGCAATATCCTTCATCCCCACCCTTCTCAGGGTGCCCTGAAGGTAGGGGCTGCTTTTTATTATCTCATAAGTTGGCTCAGTTCTTTCTGATTTGGAGAAACTGTCATTAAATAATGCAAACTGTTCATGAAGAATTTTGGCACAACCTTCTTTTTTATTTATGTGTGTACACTGCAGCTCTGTGTGGTGGTACCTGGTATGAGCTCCTGTGGGCAAGAAGAGGTACAAATCTGTCCAGCTTTGGGTTAATCATGTGATACAGGGCACAGTTCACTGACAGAGCTTCACCTTTTTTTCCAGGTATTATTAACCAAACATTTCAATGAACTTCAACATCACTGATACCGTATCTACTTTATACATCATGTTCATCTTAATGATATCAGACCGTCTCAGACAGCAGTACCTACATTTAAGAGGCCATGCTAAAATCTCTTCGGTGAGTTTTTGTCCTTCTCTCTCTTTGGAAGAGTCACAACTGCTGGGGTGCTTCCCCAAGGGTAATCACAGGATAGCCCATGGAGGCAGGGGAAGAAATTCTACTTCAACCCTACTTTAACCACCACCACCACAGCCCAACATCAGCCTTCTTCCCTCCCAGCGCATGAGGCCTCATGTGGCTGGTCACAGGACAGAGATCAGACAAGAGGCCAGCCACAGAGCAAAGCAACCAATAAAAGAATTACCTGCTAACAGAGTCCCTGTGAGGTGTCCTTCAGTACTGCAAGCCCTGGTGAGACTAGTGCTGAGCCCACACCTCATGCAGCATCCTCCCTGCAGAGACACCTGATGAGGCCAAGAGACAGGGAGTCACCCTCAGCATTTTCCAGGCTGGCCCGTGTTTGGCCAAACCATTTGTGACGGCATGCCAAAGTCTAAGGAGAAAAACAAAAAATAGTTAAAATTGTACTGGTTAAACCACTGTTGCCTTATTGTCCAAGAGGAAGCCCCAGTGGCGGGCAGATGGTGTGGCCTTGCTGCTTCTGACCTGCCCTTAGCAGGATAAGGAGCAGGCTGGACCACTGGCATCCTATGAATGCCTCGTCCTCAGCACACCACACATCCAGCAGGGTTTTGTGGGATGTGACATTAAGCACTTTTGTGAAGGGAGATAATTGCCACACAGAATTAAGAGAGCTGGAATGGAGGATTTTTGAGAAGGCAAAGGCTCCTCTGAAGTGCATGGTATGATACCATTTGGGTTATATTAAAGGACTGAGCCAGCAAAGGCTCCCCACCTCCTCCCAGAGATGGAGCTCACCCAAGGCCCTGAGCAGAGTCTTGTGTCCAAACACGAGGCAAGTTTGAGCTTGGGCCGGTGCTCTGAAGTTAGTGTAGATGTACCCATGAAAAGCAAGTCCCAGAGCTTTAGGCTTTCCACTGAAAATTGCTTCTCTCTTTTCAGAAAGAGCTGCTTCTCTGTAGGTCAGCAGACTCTGCACACTCACAGCCCTTTTACTCCCTTCCACCCTGGTACTTTTACTTCTGAGTTAGACAGGTTTCTGAACTTTTTCATGAAGTTGCTCATATTTTCCACTGCATCTCCTTTTTACCTCACCCCACCAGTTCACTCTGATCTTTCTTTCTCAGTAGCTCTAGGTTCTGAACTGTTCATTTAAATACAGTGTGGTTTGCCAGCATTTTTTCCTAAGCCTTTTATATTATCAGTTAAAGAAACAGGAGACACATGAGGCACTTAACACAAGTGCACCTTGCCAAGATGCCTTCAGTGGTATGCTTTTTCTTTAGGTTCAACCACAAACATTTTAACATATCTGAATGATAAAAAAGCATTCCAACCCATGCTTTCTTCCCCAAGTATTTTTGCCATTCAGTGGCCCTCTAGTATTGTTTGTCACAGACATGTGTGGGAGAGGTCTTTTAAATGTCACTTTTTGAGCACGTTAAGTTAGCTTAGCAGCTCAAAGGTTGCAGGGTTAAAAGGAAATAAGCAAAACATAGTTATTTTCTGTGGAAAGGTTTTCCCCTGCCTCCTTACAGGTACAGGTATAACTAGAAGAAATCCACAAAGGGGAAAATAATCCCCATTCTATGGAAAATTCTCAAATATGTTAAAATTTATTTGATTACTGGAATCAATTGGATTGAATCCTACTGCTGGATTGTAGGCATATTGCAGATCACTAGGCACAGCTCAACAACAAAGCTTCAAGTTCCTCTAGCCTTTATTCCTCAGAACTATGAAATGGCATTCAAATAGTACAGAGAATATTTGCCGTGGTGCATCACAAACCACAGAGCTCACCTTTCTTAAGCCATGCTCTATCATTTAAAGATGTTCAGTCATCCTTAAATCCAAATGGCTACAACAATAATTAAACATATGGTTTTGCTTTGAATTATCGTGGTTCTATGTAATTTCCCTGTTTATGGGGTCTCCTGAAAAATCATTTTCTCTGGTTGTCGCCAGTGGTTTTATAAATCTTATTAGTCTAAGGCTAACAAGGTCAAACTCCGATGTTGAGGAGTGTAGAAAAATTTTAAATACACACTGTCGGAAACAAATGCAAGTTGAAGACACAGCACTTGCAGCCTTGCTGCTGTCCCAAAATTTCACAAGGCCTACACTGTAACAGCCATGGATCTCATTTTCCAAAAATCCTATCACAGCAGTATGACTGCATCCCTTACCCATTTTCACACATTGATAAACAATTACCCACGTAGAGTACAAGACAGAGGAAAGACAGACGAAGGAGAACTACAGCGATACGAATAAGAAGCATGGGACAAGGCTGGCTTCTCACAGCAGTAGGAGAGAAATAATTTGGGTTTGGTTTTTCATGGATCAGCCAATGGCTGCTGCAGCATCCAGCCTTGTTTCCCCCTGATCCAAGCTGTTGCTCCAGTCTGGCTTGGCAGCATCCACACGGACTTCTTCAGCTCCAGCTGCACATTGTGCCCCTTCCAGAGAGTTGTGCCATGGCTTTGTCACTTTCCAGTTGAAGCTCCTTTTCATCAAAAAGGAGTAAGACATTTCACAACTGACTCTATTTTCCGTTTAAACACTTGAAAGGCAACATCAAAACATGTTCTAGGGTGCAGCAGCAGGTCTCAAAGCTGTCTGTTGGCTTAAGAAGTGGTACAACAGAAACAGCACACTATTTCCTTCAGAAGTGAATCATTCCCCAGCCCTGTCTTTACAGCAAGTGTTAAGGCCTTTTTAAAGTCACAAAAATATGTATTAATTAAAAATATTTACGTATTATTTGGACCAAACTGTGGAACAGCCATTCTGATGAATTAAATGTCTGTACATTTGTGGAAAGTAGAATCTGACACTGATGCACTGTTAAACTTGCAGATAAGCTCATGGAAACACATGAAAAAGCAGAATACACTGAATCTTCCACTGGCTTAAATTGCCAAAGGCCCTTCAAAATGCTTAGATTATATTATGGACATAAAAATGCTACAGGAGGAGCAGCCAGTCAACCTATAAAACCCAAAAACTCTGTGCACTCACTTCTTAAAAATACTGGGTTTGTCTGCTTGACCAGAAGAAATCCATCATGGAGGCCAGGCCAGCTGAGATAAAGAGAACCAAGCCACACGAGGCAGATGCTGGACACAGATAGGAGACAAGCCTGTGAAGAACAGCTCAGCTCCCCAAAGGCTTCAGGCACTAGAGTGCAGTGAGGGGGAAGAGTACATAGCACAGCTGTGAATCCCTCTATGGAGAGGCATTTCGTTTGTGGAGTAATTTTTCCTGTGCCTATCTTCAGGAAAGAATTTGTGTGTCTGTTAAGTCCCACTAATGCACTCTCAGAAAACCAGAGCATGTGCATAAGGGGTTCTTGTATCAAGTTTTACAGGCATCATTTGAGCATGTGAGTTATCCCCTTGGCTTAGTGGGACCATGCATTCCTGGAGTCCCTGATGATCTTACTGTAGCCTCCACAGTAAACTCCAAATGAAAAAGGAAAGTGAATATTACTAAATCAAGAAAGTTCATAATTGAAACATTACTTAACACCTCCTCCCCCATCTAAGGCTCGATTTTGGGGTATCTGATCCTGTGAACTGCTTGCACAATGAGGCACCGAGGTCAGCGGGGCTAACAAACCACAGGTTGTGCTTTCTGTTGAGTCAGAGGCTTTGCTGGCAAACATTCAGAGCCAATTCTGCAATGTTCCATCATGCATATCCTTATTATCAAGGCAGTAGTGCCATTCTGATGTAATGTTTTAGAGCTCTTTCTCTGGTAAAAAAAACACGCATTACTTTTTGTTGTCTCTTAAACAGAAATACACAAAGCTGTAAAAACACTTCTAATTATGTTTAAAAACCAATCACATTAAAACCAAAGCTGATGCCAAGAACATATTATTCACACAAACTAAGAGATGCAGAAACACTTCACTGCTATGGACTGCAGAATAAAGTAAGCAGGATAATGGCTTATGGAGGCCAAACTCATGGAACCTACCTTTTCATCTCCCCTTTTTGACCCAGAGGCTGCAAATAAACTTTCTTTTTAATATACCCTTCCCACTTACACTTTCTTTTTAACTACTTCATTCCCTACTCCCATTCCCAGGACCTGTCTTCCTGCTGTGTTTTGTCTCTTTATCCAGTGTTTCTCCACATTACTTCTCTCCCAGTTTCAAAGCACCTTCTCCCTACCCAGGCTGCATGAGGAGACACTGTGTTCCATCTTATTTTTCCCAGTCTGGATGTATCTCGAGAAGTTGCAGGTTAGGAAAGGAAAGATTGAAACTTTCTCCACTCATTTCTCTGTCATCTTCCCTCTGGGCTGACCATTTGGTGGATACCTCTTAAGCAGCTCCCAGTGGAAGCACAGAGAAGACATGGCAATACAAATAGCTTCTTCTTGTTTTCAAATCTGGGACCTGCTGCCCAGTCGTGTTGCTACCGAAGCCAAAAACATTCCTTGATATTGTGGAGCTGGTTGGATGCAGCGACAAAAAGTGATCAAAAGGTGATTCTGGAAGCTTACTGCAGAATCCCAGTCCCCTTGACCTATAAAACACAAGTGGATCAGTCTGACTGATAAGAAGTACCGAGTATGACCTAAACACTGAGCTCTGGAAACACATGAGGCACGTCAGTGCACATTTCTTACCTAAACAAGCAAGGCTTTTCAGTGAAGTGAAACACTGAATAGAGGATTATCTATATTTGTGGGCAAAGTCCTCTAGCTAAATCTGAACCACAGATCTTCACATCTGAAAATAAAACTATTATCTATATTTTTCTCCTGTGGTGCAGATAATATAGCAATGATGCCAGAGACTTCTATTCCTTATCGCTGCCTTCTGCTGCTACTTTCCCTGCTTTTCCAGGGGAAAAGCAGTTAACTACAGCTCCTTCTTCCTTAGGCAAAGAGATGACTTCAGTTACAGCACTTCTGTAGAGTAGGTAGGAGCCACCACCTTCTGTCACTGTGATAGCACAGTACCTCACCTCTGTGCACTCACACACACACACACTTGAAGAAAGCAGAAGAGAGAACAGCAAAAGCAGGTCTTTTCTTCAAGGGATGGCAAGCCAGGAACTGAGGTGACCCCATAGCCTGCCCTGCAGCCTCAAGTTAGCCAAGCAGGATGGGCTTAGAGAGAGCAACCAAGAGTCCAGACCGTAAGGCAAAAGCATGCTGACAGGGCGGATCCAAGATTAAACCAGAAAGGCAGAACCAGGAGGCCACTTCATAAGTCAGGTCCAATGATGTCCAAGTAGGGTCATGATAAGACAGTGCCCAATTTAGGCTGGGCAGCTAGTGCAGACAATGAGATCCAAAAAAAGGTCTCCACAGCAAGTCCTAGCCAGGCTGAGCTGAAGACCAAAATACCCCCCAACAGCTCAAGAAGATGCTGACAGTCCTCAGG